TTCAAGCCCATCGCATAAACCATGTTAGAAACAGAGGTCATCCTATTTTATATTTTTACCTTGTTTTATAGCCAAGGACTGATCGAAATTTTTATTCTCTAAATTCATTATAATCGGCCTTTCTTTGAAAAGAGATAAAAAAAAGGTACTTCATTAATATGAATGTGCGAATACCTTTAATGTTAACAATTTTCTACATATATATTTCGATGCTTGTTATTCTCAAGTCTATATGTAAGCTGTGCTAATTAAATTCTGTGCGCGACTTTCCTGAAAAAGTTATTCAAGATTTAATGCTTTAACTACATTTTCACGGATATGGCTGGTTAAGACATGAATTTGAATAAGTCCCAAATTATGATATAGAATTTTTAACTATATATAAATGTTGGTTGAATAGTCATGGGCACGGTAGTTATTTTTTTTCTGTAATTATGAAAGGATATGATTATAAATTTTGTAAAAAGCTATGGGATTTTTTGATTATGACAATTATTATTGTCCGAAGCGTAGCTTAGGAGTCCTAAAGCTAGGACGTTATACTTATCACAAGATATACGTCTGTCAGGCCACGTAATTAGCCAATCAGCGATAGAAGTTGTACTACATTAAGATAATAATCTTGTATTATCTGTATCGTTATATATGCATAATGCATGTAATCCGGTTTTCATCCTTAAAATCGAAATCTTTAAAAACCGGTTTATAAATATATATCGTTAAAGTAAATTTTTATGAAAATTATGTAATTTCTATTACATAAACCGGAATTGAACCTAAAATTAGAGTAGTTTTTATATTGGTTCCAAATTTGGCTTAAATACATTTTCATATTATACAAAAATTTATTTAATATTAATATTGTATAATTCAAAAAGATAATCTCTTAATCAATTGCTATGACCCCTATGGACAGTTCGAATTTTCGATCTTTTTTTAGTGCAATAACGCAGAATTTCATACGATTTTTCACATCAGAAAAGAATGTTAAGGTCAATATAAATCTTAAAGTACGACAGTATTAGATATGACTGTAATTGGACGCTTTATAATAAGTGATATTTTTACTGAAACACGCGATTCTGAAGCCTGAAAAGTTTATCTTACATAAGATTTCATTGAGTTTATTGACAGGACATCAATTGAAGTTTAGCATACAAACAAATAAATATTCGCACGATTTTTTAAGTATAAAGGTCAGATTATATGGAGCGTCTGTTCGTTTGCTCCTTTTTAAAAATCTCAAGAATCTCTACAAGACAATAATGACTCTGACTCGTATCAGTAGAAACGAAATTCCAAATGTTCCATTATCAAAAATCGATTATGAAAGATATAAATCAAAATTTCCAGGTTCTTTAAAGCAAGATGTCTCCTTTTCTAATCAATTGAAGGTTCATGGTCAACTTAGAAACATTAGAGACGAAAATAATTTTACAGACGAGTTTTTTACGGCTGCACGAATTTATACCAACAGTATAAAATTAATTATTTTTCTTTATAATAAATTTTCTTCTACGTATTAGTTATGAATATATTTCTGTTTACTAGAACAAGAATCAAAAAGGATCATTGATAATGTATCAGAAATTACTATTGATGTTGATAATTATTCGTCATTGACTGACGCCTCAGATTCTGTCTCAGAAACTTACACATTTGACGATGAACAATCAATTAATTCACAACAATCCAGACCATCAGACAATGAACGGTTAATCACTAACAAAGCTGCCGAAGTTCAAACAGCACCAATAGATAATAATGGTTTACAACCCGTGGTGACTAAATTAAGAAAATGCTCTAATGATAGACAAAGTCAAACGCAAGCAGTTTATGTCCTCCCATGCAATAATGATCAAAACTATAAAAAATTGAAAAAAATTTTAACTGCAATCATCGCATTTTCAATTTTAGCTCTTTTTTGGTACTATCAAAAGGTATTCTTGCATATAAATAATATCTATGTATCTATCTTTTGCACTAACAAATGTTATTTTTAGACAAATAACACTACTATTAGTAACTTAATCGAAACAATTAATGCTGAGATTTTCGAAAAAGTAAGTTTCAAAGTTTTCACTCATAAATAAAAACAATAAATCATTAATAAATGACATACTGTTTATATTTCTAGTATAAACTTTGGAAAAATGCGAAATTTGTTGAAACTGAAAATAATGCATTAAAAGTAGAAAACTATGCATTAAAATTCGAATTAAGCACTTTAAAAACAAAATACATTGATTTGGAAAAGGAAGTTACCAATTTAAAAGAAAAGATCGCCGCTTCCAACGAAAGAAAAATATTCCTTGAATCACAAGGAACCAAATTCAAGTACACAATTAAAACCCTCAAAGATACGATCAAAGGCTTTGAAGCTACTATTAAAGATCTCAGAAATAATGAGATAAATCTCAAAGCGCAACACAAAGAACTTTTAAAGGAATTAACTTTGTTAAAAAACAAAAACGAAGAAGCCGAAAATAGAAAAAAACAATTAGAAAATAAAATCAAAAAGATAATTGAAGATCGCAATCAGTTAATAAATATAATAAACAAATTACGAAAGAAGGGAAAAGAATTAAAAAATAAATACAAAAAGGAGAAGCAAGAAATTCAAAATAAATTAGATGAATTGGAGGCAGAAAGAATAAATAAAATAGTCGAAAATTCAAAAGGAGGATGTAATTAATTCAATGATTAGATATTATAAAGTAGCTAGTTTATGCATTTTCATGAATAACAATTTTTTTTGAAATTTTGAATTGTCGATTTTCTTTTGTATAATGAAATGGTAAACTAATAAGTATCCCAGCTAAGATGATCTCAATTTATACATATAGCTAATTGTTGACATATTTATTGATAATAATTAACTATAATAAATTTAACCTCTATAATTCGCACACTTTTTTGTATCCTGAGAGTGTGACTATAGAAAAGTTTTGACTCACTTTCATATAGTAAATTCCTAAATATTCGTTTGTGTAACAATCCGATCGGCAAGGGAAACCTAGAACCGGCAATTCAGAACAATTACCGGTTAGAGGTTTCCTTCATATCGATATTAAAAAACTGTACTAATTAGTTTAATTAGGGGTTTTAAAATAGACGTGCTTATAAAAAGAATTTCTATATGATGTGCTTAAATGGAAGGTGACTATAGTGAGGTTTGACTGAATCCTCTTTTAATTTATTTTAATTCACAATGCAACATTTTTATTCTTTAGATTCCTCTTTTTTTAGATGATCAATT